CAGATTTCTAAATGTCAACAAAATTATTACTATATTTTTGCTTGTGAAACAAGCTTTTCTATGTGTTAGATGTCAACTGTGAGCATCATTTTGCAACCATTGAGTCACCTGTCCTTGATTTTTTTTTTTCTTGTTTGCAGTAGCATACATGATCATCAAACCACTACCTTACTGCAAGTTTCAAGCCCAGGGGAACGTCCGAGCATTTGCTCCAGGTCAGGGTGGGGCTGTCTGGTACCAGGCTGCACCCACTGTTGGGCAGGTCCAGCCACACAGGAGCCGTTCCCCAGACCGTCATTTCCTTGATTTGTGTCTATTAAAAACCTTCTTGATACTTGCCCTTTTTTGAGCCAAACAATAAATCAAGCCAATCAACAAACCAGTTTCCGTCATTCTGGAAACCATTGTCTTTCCTTTCTAATAATGAATCCATTTGAGGACATCGATCCATTTAATTGGATTCTAAATTAACTTTAACATAAACATAAATTGGGAATAATTACAGTATTTGGGAACTGAACTTTTAAAATCATAGTCTTTGGGAGATAGAGCATTTATCTGATTGCCACTTTTTTTCTGTTCCAAAGGCTAAAAACTCATGTCATTATTAGAATATGAAGGATGTGGTATGTCTAAAGCCAGGTCAGAAAATGAATTAAATCTTTTTGAGGTAGGTAATCCTTTAAGCATTAATTCATCTTGGGGCAGTCTTGATTAAAACATTTACACTGTGTTGATTCAAGAGGCTAAGTCATGAGGGTTAATGAGTTGCATCATATTTAAAATCTAGAAGGCTTGGCATAGATTCATGGATCGAATAAAAAACAATAATTTATTCTGCAAAGGGCCAGGCACTGATACTAAATTAAATATTTATAATGTAAAAATCTGAGTTGTTTTATTATCCATATAGTTAATGAGTCTCCTACTTGGGTTCAGGGATAAAAACAGTCTAAAAATCACCAAAAATAATCACATTATGCTCTTGGTAAACACACTAAAATAAAATGTAGCATTAATCATTGCAATACAGTTTGTGATTCAAAATCATTTGTTTATTTTAAGAAGAACTGACTCCTTTTAAAAAAATATTTTGTAAAAGAACAAATTTCCTGGTAAGAATTAAATACGGCATGTATGCTTAGTAAGTAGTAATCAGTCAATAAATATTTCTTGAATAAAAGATTGCAAAAGTTCAAGTACTGACATTCTACACAAGACTAGCCTCTCAAAACTGTGATACGCTTTTCCCTTTGAAAATAGTTTTGTCTTCTGGCCCATGTTATAGCCCCACACCTAGGTAGTCGTCAAAGGACAACTGTTGCCTAAGGAGCAAGGCTGAAACCCATGGTGTTATTTACTGCTAGCTTTATCTTAACTTACATGTCAGAATACTCCAGGAAGCCACAGGTTTCCTTCCTCAGCATGTTATCAAGGACAATGCATATGCATGATAGCAGATGTCTTATGATTGCCTATGAATAGCCCATCTCCCCTTCCCTAGATCGGTTAGTCCCAATCAGAAAACATGTACTGTTAGTTCCTGATTTCACTTTGTAAATGAACCAATGTGCCTGTAGTTCCTTGTTGTTGTTGCTAGGGGCCATCTAGTCAGCTTGGACCCACAGCGACCCTACGCACAACAGAATGAAACACAGTCCAGTTCCTACGCCTGAGCCCACTGATGTAGCCACTACATCAATCCATCTCGTCAAGAGCCTTCCTTTTCTTTGCTGTCCCTCCACTTTACCAAACACGATGTCCTTCTCCAAGGACTGGTCTCTCCTGACAATGTGTTGAAAGTATGTAAGACATGATTCCTTGGAGCACTTTGTAGCTGAAAGCATTTTGCCCGTCCACATCATTTACTCCTTCAATAAACTCTTTGCTTAAATTTTAGCAGATACTGCAGTTTTCTCCTTGACAATTCACTAAGACTTTGAACAACAACTAAAATTTGGACTATTCTAATATTATTCTTTATTGCCTGCCTCAAGAAGAGAACAAAGAACAGAAGACACACTAGATTATCATCAGACAGAATAAATTAGAGTGCAACAGTGTCTTATTTATTTATCTATTCATTTACTTAAGGCGGACTAGAAGTTATCACTTAAAAAGTAAGAAAAGTAAAGAACTGCTGGTCTCACTAAAGATGCAAACTTCTCGCTGAGCCTCAGTAATGACGAGCTCTGAAGTAACAGACGCAAGAGGGACTCCTCCCTAAGGAGCTGTTGCTCCTGACAAGGTCCAAATGCTGCTGAATCAGGATGCTGTCAACTGCACTGCTGCCATGGCTACTGGCTCCAGAAACATACCACTTCCTCCTAACCCACAATCTTCATATAAAAGAAGGAACATCTCATGCCTGGTGTCTACACACTCCATTTTGTTTCGGCTCCAGATTTAATTCAAGCTTATTTGGTTGGGAAAACCCAAATCACAATTGTATCTCTGCCTGCCCGGGAATCTGGGAAATGTAGTTTTCTAATCTTCCAGCCTCCACATGCTTAAAGAAGAGGAGTGTCATTTGAGCAAGTCAGTCCTTAGTATCCACCACACTAGCTCAAGGAAAAAATAATATTAAAGGGACTTTTATAGCCTCTTCTGTAATTGAGTCCAGGAGGCAGCTACAGGAATTTTAAATGCATTTGGAAGCTAAATTCTCATCATGGAAACCCTTTGATATAAAAAGAAAATAGACTTCAACTAGACTGGGAAAAATATGAAAGTAGACTGGAATTATATATATATAAAAATTATATATTATATAATATATATTATACATAATTATATAATATATAAAATTTTATATATATATAAATATTACATATCTGGAAAACTCACATGTTAGAGAGCATGCCTGAGCTCCATAAAGCTGTCTTGGTTAACATGCAAATAAAAGAGGATGAATAAATATTGAACTCCTGACATATGTAGGCTTTAATCCAGTCATCTTATTTCATTCTTATAATATCCATATGAACAGGAAATGACAATCCCTATTTGAGAGATGGAAAAAATGAGATTTGGGCACGTGATGTTATCTCTCCCTATTTAAAACACTGACTGCAAGGCCGTTTCTTCTTCCATTTTACTACATTTTAGAATTCTCGATGCTCTGAGACCTTAAATGACTGCAAAACTACATGTCCCATGTCTGACTTCTCCAAAGCGCTGTGTGCTTGTTAGGTTGGCATTGGCTAATTGCTCAAAGCAGACTGCCTACTCCTTCTTTGTAGCCTGTTCTTAGTCTAGAAGCCCCATTGAAATCTCTTCACCTCGGGCAACTTTATTGGCATACCAAAAATGCTATACCATTCCACTAACCCTGCTCATCAACTGCCACTCCTCCCCTTAGTAATAGCCCTCCTGTCCCAGCATTCCGGAATTCACTGCAATGCCCCATGGAACTTACAAACCACTGAGGAAGGAAATGGCTCACATGCGAGCTGAGGCTGACGAGTGCCAAATTCGAAATGAGGGTTCTCCTCATTCACATCAGAGTGAGCCGTTGACTCATGAGGCTGCGGAAGCTGGTGAACTCAGTCAAGGTGTTGACTCGAATCCAGGAACCAGTGTTCAGACGGAAACAAGCCAGGGGCAGGGTCCAGAGCAACAGAGTAAACTTTTGAAAGTTCTTCAGAGCAGGTCAAGGTGACGACCTAAGTTCTGGGCTCTGGCTTTTCCTAGGGTGATAACTGGCGCCTGATTGGAGTTTGCCACTGGGTGACTCAGCACTGGGTTTCTATGCATGGTAAGCAGGGAAGGTTGGTGGAGGGGTGATGTCACAGAGGTGGCATTTGCCCGGGTTTGGGGTTTAAGGAGAGTATGATTTTTTCCTTCTGTGTTCACGTTCATAGGTCGGAGATTGGACCCAAGGCCCTTTGGAACCCACGCAGTTGCAAGGCTGAAGAGGAGAAGGCAGGCAGAAGGGGAAGTCCAAGCAGCAGCTGTGGCTGTGTCTATGGCAACTGTGGCAATGAGTGTGGTGGTGGCTGTAGCTGTGGCAACTGACAGCAGTTTGCAAGCAAGGGCAAGCAGTAGGCTGTCTGCCATGGGCAAGGCGAAACTAGCAGTGACTGATGTGGAACCCACACCAGCAGGAACAGAAGGAATGCCCCTCGCAGAATTCAGTGTCTATGCATCAACTGTGCCAAACCCCTAAAGAGGTGTCACTGGGCTGTGAAGCTGGGCAGGGCTGCACTGTGACCTTAGAAGAGGGGCCTTGCTGCCAAACTGCAACACCCAGCTGAGGTGACCCCAAACTATCACCAGTCGAGATCCCAAGCTTATATAGGGGACAGGTTGATCACTTCAACACATCTTAGGTGAGCCAAGTCTAGTCTCAGCCAGGTGCGTGACCCCAGTTTCCTGCTTTTCTCAATGAAACAGGCAACTGGCTTAAAATGGAGTTATTTCTTGTTTTAATGCAGATCTCAAAGATGACTACAATTAGCCGACCATAGTCCCAAGGAAACAAAGCAGTAGTGACTGGAGAAAAGTGGAGACTCAACATATAGACCACCTTAATCCTGCCTCATCAGTGCAGCAGGTAACGCTTTCCAAAATGGGATTCTAACCGCAGGTGGGGGGATAGGATGTATAATGCATCAGAAAGTGGAATGCTATGGTAGAAGTGACACTGATGGGTCTATCAGGCAAGCATTGAACAGCTAGTTACAGGATGTTTGCTCCCATCAAGATTCATAGACAGGCTATCACATGGAATCTGCGTCAACTTTCTCCTGTTGGTGTTGTTGCTATGGTTAGAAGGGTCATATTTAGTAACTAAAGCCACCTTATTTACCTGTGGGGGTAAAGTTATAGCCTGCGTGTGATAATACTTTGAGATTAATGTCCCTCTTGGCATGCTCAGTAATCTAAAGCTAAAGGTACATGTGGCCTATCATCTGCCCATTTGCAAAAGCATTGCACAAAAATAATTAATATAGGAATATACATGTACTCCCAAATCCCCACAGCGAACTCTTCAGAAAGTTAAATCTTCCATAAAACCCTTTCGCTTTTTCTGGAAACGCTAATTGTTGAAAAGCCAAACTGAAAATGACATGAGCTCCAGTGGAGACACTTGAAAGCTCGCATGAGAGGAGGGGGCTTCCACAAGGGACCCCCGAAGAAGAAAAATGTATTCGAGGAAGAGATGTGCATTCATGTCAAGAAATAGCTTTCTGACAAGTCACAAACTGGTGGGTGTATTTGAAATTTCCGGCATGAATGCACATAGGTCAGGGGGCAAGACGAGAGGCTATAATCAGAGAAAGACACTTTAGA